TCTTTGTTGTCTGCACCTCCCATATACCTCTGTATGTTTTCCTCTCCTTCAATGCCACCATGTTGATCACTCACATTTAGTACATTGCCCTTCTCATCACCCAGATCAATAATTATCTCTGCTTATGTAACAGTGTTCCTTACCTTCCCTTCCCACCCCTGGTAACCAACAAAGAAAATTTCCTTCCATATATAAACCTTTCCTTGACTTTTAAAATAACAGACTAATACAATATTTGTCCTTCTGTAATTGACTTATTTCACTGAGCATAATGTCCTGCAAGTTCATCCACATTATGTGGTGTTTTGCAGATTCTACATTATTCTTTAGTGTTGCATAGTATTCCATTGTGTGTATGTACCATAGTTTGGTTATCCATTCCTCAGTTAATGGACACCTAGGTTGTTTCCATCTTTTGGGTATTGTAAATAGTGCTGCAATGATCATGGGTGTGCATATGTCTGTTCTTGGCATGTCTCTCACTTCTTTAGGGTGTATACCTAGTAACGAAATGGCTGAGTCAAATGGTATTTCTAATTCCAATTTCTTAAGGAATTGCCATACTGCTTTCCACAATGGTTGTACCATTTTACAGTCCCACCAGCAGTGTATGAGAGTCCCAATCTCTCAACATCCTTGCCAGCATTTGTTATTTTCTGTCTTGTTGAAGTTTGCTACTAGTGCTGGAGCAAGATGGTATCTCATTGTTGTTTTGATTTTCATCTCTCTTATGGCTAATGATTGCGAGCATTTCTTCATATGTTTGTTGGCCACTTGAATATCCTCCTTGGTGAAGTGTCTGTTCATGTCTTCTGCCCATTTTAATTGGATTATTTGTCTTTTTGTTATTGAGCTGTGGGAGTTTTCTATAAATTCTAGAGATAAGTCCCTTGTCAGATATGTCATTGCTGAATATTTTTTTCTTCCCAATCTGTAGGTTCTCTTTTGACTCTTTTGGAGAAGTCTTTGGAAGCACATAAAAATTTAATTTTTAGAAGGTCCCATTTATCTAGTTTCTCTTCTGCTGTTTGTGCATTTTGGGTTATGCTTAATAGTCTATTTATGCCATATATTAGGGCCCCTAAATTTGTCCCTAGTTTTTCCTTGAGGAATTGTATATTTTTAGGTTTCACATTTAAGTGTGACATACAGATCTTGTTTCATTTTTCTGCAAATGGATATCCAGTTTGTCCAGCACCATTTATTAAACAAGCATTCTCTTCCCCATTTAATGGATTTCGGCCTTTGTCAAAGATCAGCTGACTATAGATTGATGGATCTATTTCTGGGTTCTCAATTCTATTCCATTGGTTTATGTGTCTGACATTGTACCAATGCCTGGAAGTTTTGACTGCTGTGGCTATATAGTAGATTTTGAGATCTGGCAGTGTGAGACCCCCTACTTTGTTCTTCTTCAGTAGTGGTTTGCATATCTGAGGTCTCTTTCCTTTCCATATAAAGTTAGAGATTTGTTTTTCCATATCCTTAAAAAAGGTTGATGGGATCTGGATTGGGATTGCATTGAATGTATAGATTCCTTTGGGTAGAGTTGACATTTTCTCAATGTTCACTCTTCCTATCCACGAGCATGGTATGTTCTTCCATTTATG